TCATAATATTCTGTCAGTATCTGTTTTATTTCAGTTGGTTCTGTTGTTATGACACCATTTTCATTGACAATTTTTGTGATTTGGATCTTCTCTTTCGTTTCTTTTGTTAGGTCTGCCAAATGGTTTATCAATTTTATTAATCTTTTCAAAGAACCACCTCTTTGTTTTGTTGATTTTCTGAATTTTTTTTTTTTTTTGGTTTTCTGTTTCATTTATTTCTGCTCTGATCTTTATTATTTCCTGGCTTTCTAGATACTGTAGGATTCTTTTGTTGTTCTATTTCTAGTTGTTGGAGTTGATGAGTTAGAGTCTTGATTTTGTGTCTTTCCTCTTTTTGGATGTATGCATTTATTGCTATAAACTCTTTTCTGAGTACTGCTTTTGCTGTGTCCCATAGGTTTTGGTATGATGCATCTTCATTCTCATTAGTTTCTAAGAATTTTTTTTATTTCAGTTTTTATCTATTCTGTAGCCCAGTTGTTTTTGATCAGTGAGTTGTTCAGCTTCCATATGTTTGATGCTTTTTTCTTGCTCTTCCTATTATTAATCTCTAGTTTTATAGAATTGTGGTCTAAAAAGATGCTTTGCAGTTTTTCAATGCTTTTGAATTTATTGAGGCTTGTTTTATATCTTAACATATGGTCTATTCTGGAGAAGGATCCATGTGCACTGGAAAAGAATGTGAATTGTGCTTTTGTTGGGTGAAATGCTCTGTATATGTCTATGAGTTTGAGTTGGTTGATTATACTGTTGAGTTCTTTTGTATCCTTGTTGAGTTTTTTTCCAGTTGACCTGTCCCTCCTTGAAAGTGGTGTGTTAAAATCTCCTATTACTATTGTAGAGTTGTCTATTATCCTTTTAATTCAGTTAATATTTGCTTCATGTATTTTGGAGCTCTTTCATTGGGTGCATAAATATTTATTATTGTAACGTCTTCTTTGTCAATTGACCCTTTCAGCATCATGTAATATCCCTCTTTTTCTCTTATGATGTTTTTCACTTTAATGTCTATTTTATCAGAAATCAGTATTGCTAGTCCTGCTTTTTTTTGGTTTCCATTGACTTGGTATATTCTTTTCCATCCCTTAACGTTTAATTTGTTTTTATCCTTGTGGATAAGGTGGGTCTCTTATAGGCAGCATATTGATGGGTCTTCTTTTCTGATCCAGTCTGCCACTCTCTTTTTCTTGATAGGTGCATTTAGTCCATTCACATTGAGGGTAATTAGTGATAGGTATGAATTGATTGCTGTCATTCTATTTTATTTATTTATTTTTTTTGTCATGTTGTTGGTGTTTCTTTGGTCCATATACTTTTCTGTGCTGAGTTTAGTTTGTTGGCTAATGCTTTCTCCCTTTTCTTCTTTATAGTTGGTTTTGTGCTTATTAAACCCATATGTTTTCCTTCCTTCTGGATTTTCTTAGAAGAATTGTTACTTTTCTCTGTGGTTACCTTGGAGTATATTCTTATCTCTACATTTTTAGAACAGTGCGTACTACGAAGACATCGTCTTGTTTTCTTCTCCATTTGAAAGTCTGAACCTAGAAGTTTTACTCCCTCTGATAGGTTGTTGCTGTTGTGTGCTGATTGAGTTCCTTGGTTTTTAAGGTACAATGTTTTATGGTCTTATTTTCAGTATGTATTTCTGTAGTGTTGATGCCACGAATCCTGGTTTTGTTGATCTCTGTTGTAGGTTCTCTATTGGAAGGACTTCCTTAAGCATTTCTCGTAGGTTGGTCTGGTTTTCACAAAATCCCTTAATTTCTGTTTGTCTGAGAATGCCTTGATTTTGCCCTCATGTTTTATGGATAATTTGGCTGGGTATGGGATTCTTGGTTGGAAGTTTCCTTCAGTGTTTTGTATATGCCATCCCATTGCCTTCTTGCCTGCATGGTTTCTGCTGAGTAATCAGAGCTCAGCCTAACTGTTTGATTATTATAAGTAATATTTCTTTTCTCCCAGGCAGCTCTCAAAATTTTTTCTTTGTCTTTGGTTTAGGAAAGTTTGATTATAATATGCTTTGGTGTTTTTCTCTTTGGATCTATCTTGTGTGGGGTTCTATGAGCTTCTTGGACAAATATCTTTTCTTCCTTCATGATATGTGGGAAGTTTTCTGTTATCAGGTCTTCCACAATTTTCTCAGTGGTCTTTTTAGCCTCTTCTTGTTCTGGAATTCCAGTGAGTCTTATATTGTTTCTTCTCATGTCATTGCATATAATTCTTAGGTTCTTTTCATTTATCTTAAATCTTTGTTCTGATTTTTCTTCGTACAGGCTAGCGTCCAGGGATTTGTCTTGTAGTTGGGATATGTGTTCTTCAACCATTTCTAACCTACTCTTTTGTGATTCTACTGTGTTGTGTAATTCTGTCATTTTCGTACTCATCTTCTGCATTTCAGTACTCATCTTCTGCATTTCTAATTGTTGTTTTTATGAGTTCTGATTGTGCATTAATCTTATTAGTCTGTTCCTGAAAGATTTTCTTGAGTTCCTCCGGGGAACTGTCTGTGTTCTCCTTGTTTCTGTCTGGGGTTTCCTTAGGCTCTTGCATACCTCTATAAACATACCTTCTAAATTCCTTCTCAGATAATTCTGTTGCCTCCTCCTCCTCCATGTATAATGAGACCTTTGTTTGTGGTTTTGCTTCTAATGCCTTGTCTTGTTTTTTTTTTTTTGTTTGTTTGATTTGAGGTTGCCTGTTGTTTCTGAGACATTTTGAGGTTGTCTTTAACTGCTGGTTATGTGTTGATTTGTTTTGTCTTGGTTTTATGGTTTAATATTTTGAAAAGGTGAAGCTGGTGTATTTTATTTTATTATTAATTCAGGTATGCTGGGTCGCTTTGCAGTTTTCTTTGTGATGATGGAATCACTGTGTGGAATGTGGATATGGGTTTTTGTTTGTCGTAAAGAGAGTTTTGAGTTTGAACCAGGAGGTTTTATGTTGGCTGAATGTGGTTTCTTCTATCGGATGAGTAAAGTTATTGGCGGAGGAGGTGGGAGTGGAAAAAGGAAACCTTGCTGCTGCTAGGGTAAATTTCTCGAGCTTTGAGTAGACTGCTATTGATGATGTCATACTGTTATTTACAGGCTCTCTGCTCAATTTCAGGAAAGACTCCAGTTGTTAGGGTGTTGCTACTTTCCACCAGGCTCAGACATATGCCAAGACCCTGCTCCTGAGACCCCTCGGCACCAAAAATCCGACTCAAGACAACTTCCTGGCTCCGCAATCAGCTGCGGGTTTTTCCTCTCTCTGTCCCAACTGCCCACAATGCCAGCCCAACCCACCCAGACCGCAATCAGCTCAGGAGTTTGTCTGTGAGACTGCCCACCTATAGCACCAAAGATGTGATTGGTTTCAGCTGCACTGGAGTCAGGAGAGTGCCTGCTAGTGATCTGTGGCCCCAATATTAGTGATAAAGTCAAGTGCAGACCTCTCAGTGCCACTAAGCTGACCCAAGCCTATTCAGTGACCTGCTGAGGGGGGAGTGAGCCCACCATCCTAGAGGACCAATGTGCTTTCTGCTTGGGTTTTAGTGGTGCTGGGTGTACCCGTTTGCACCTAGCCAACCCAAGTTACCAATAAAATCAGGTGCTGAAGGTAGATGCTTGGGATAATTGCTAGTATGTTGGTGTGGTCACTGGTATGCTGATATGAAGGGCCTTTTGCCTTGACCCAGGGAGGTCTCACCTGCTGGTTGCTCCCCTAGGGAAGTCTCTAATGGCCTTTCTCAGCTGTCTGTCCATGTTCCACAGGGTAGATCTTCTTTAGTTTCTTTCCCTGTACCTTTCCTCTAATTCTGCTCCTCTGAATTTGGTGCACTCTGACTCAGTGAGCTGTTCAGAGCACCAAAATCCCTAAATCAAGCTGCTGTACCTAGTTTTTTCAAGCACTAAGATGCTAGAGGGAAACAGCATGGTGATTACTGACAAGACTCCATTTTGAATCCTAAAGATACTCTTTAAACATCACCAAATATGCTGAGAAATCGATTTTCTGGATTTGGAGGCTTAGGGCCATAATCTCATTGGACAACTCAATAATTGGCATAATATATCCATAAAGTGTTCTGCATCTCAGTGTAGGGAGTAGTGTCTGGGTTTTAAAAGTTTGTGACTGTCTATCTAAGATACGTCTATCAGTTTCTACTTCTCTGGAAAAAAAGAGAAAGAAGGAAACCAAAGACTCAGAGAAAGAAACTAGTCAACACAACTAATAGTCTACATGAACCATGGCCTCATCTACCTGTGACCAGAAGAACTAGATGGTTTCTAGCTACCACTACCTACCATTCTGTCTGGGTCACCCTAGAGTGATTCAGAATTCAAGTTCTTAAAAAGTCCAAACTTATCCACCAACTTGGCCTTATAGACATCTATAGAGCACTTCACCCAACAGCAACACTATATACATTCTTCTCCAGTGCACATGGAACTTTTTCTATGATAGACCATATGTTAGGCCATAAAGCAAGCCTTTAATAAATTTAAAAACATTGAAATACTGCAAACTATCTTCTCAGATCATAATGCTATCAAATTAGAAATCAACAATAGGAAGATCAACAGGAAAAATGGAAACTGAACAACACCCTCCTTGAGAAAGACTGGGTAAGAGAAGAAATTAAAATTGAAATTCAAAAATTCCTTGAATAATGAGAATGAAAACACAACATACCAAAATCTTTGGGACACAGCAAAAGCAGTGATCAGAAGCCAATTTATAGCAATAAGTGCACACATCAAAAAAGAAGAAAGAGCCAAAAAGTCCAAACTTAGTAGACCAATTGAGAGTAGAGAATTCCCTGAGACTACTGCCCTGAGATACTCTTTAAACCTTAAACTGAAATTATCCCTTGAGGTCACCCTTTAGCTTAATAACAGATTGGCTTGTTATGTACAGAATACCACGTGTGAATAATGAGCTCCTTTAAAAAAATTATCTATAAGAGGACAAATGGTCAAAAACTTTGCTCCCCTGATGCCCACAGCCCTTCTCACTACCTGCATGTTTTCTTTGATCCTCTTCTCATTATAACTCTTGACCAGGACCACAACCCCACGCTGTAGCTGATAACGAAGGGCAATCAGGGCTGGGGTTCGCTTGTGCTTTTTGGCCAGGGCACTAAGAACTGGATCATCCAAGAGAACAGGGATGCTCTGGTCTACCCTGGAAAGAAATGAAGAAATGGTCAACACATGAAGCTGAGTTTTCAATTTCTCATGAGGTTTCTAAAACAGACTAAGGTGGTCTCCTCTAGACCAGGGATCCTCCAATTGTGCTCCTTTGACTAGCAGCATCTGGAAACTTGTTGTTAGAAATGCAAAGTCTAGGGCTTCATCCAGATGGATTGAATTAGAGGTGATGTGAGTACAGCATTTGGTTTTAAAAAGGTTTCTAGGTCATCTTGATGGTCTCTTAATTTTAAGAACAATGGTTCCATACCCTTGGATTTCCTCTCTTCCTTTTTCAGAGGCTGTTTTTCTTCTCAGGGCAAAGCTCCAGAGAAAGGGACATGAAAGTGGAAAGAGAAATGGCAAAACTTGGATAATCTTTATTTTAAAGTTTTTAAGTTATTGCTGAAAATTGAGTGGGCCACAAATAAGAAATATTCAGTGTCATCCTTAATTACCCAAACCAAACCCACTGCCATCAAGTCAATTCTGACTCATAAAGACCCGTTAGGATAGAGTAGAACTGCCTCATAGGGTTTCCAAGGCTGTAAATCTTTATGGAAGCAGACTACCTTACCTTTTTCCTGCAAAGTGTCTGCTGGGTTGGAAACAATTATCATTTATTTTACAGCCAAAAGCTTTAACCACTGCTCCATCAGAGCTCCTCAGCCTTGATTACAATGTATAATATTTGTACAGAAGTTTACAGAACATTTTCAAATGGTAATTTCTTTCCGTCCTCATGGACCTGGGAGTTAGATTTTTTCCTGATTTTAGTCAAGAGATAACTGAGGTTTATGGATGATGAATTGAAACGTGTTAATTAGTTAAAAAGTGTCAAAATCATAAATTGAGCTTATGTCTTTTGTGTCAGTTTCTTGTGTATATATTTTAATGCAGATATTGACATTCTATAACCAGATACAGGAGCTCTGGTGGCATAATGCCTAAAGCATTTTGACTGCTAACCAGAAGGCTGACAGTTCACCCATCAGCCACTCCTTGGAAGGAAGTTTGGGCAATCCACTTACATAGTGATATCACCCTGGAAACCCAAGGAACGGTCACTATGAGTCGGATCTGACTCCATAGCATTGGTTGCATTTTGCATTCTATTATGACCAGATACATAATATAAAAGTGTAGAGCTGGGTAATGGCATTGTGATGAAGTATTTCTGAAGTTTCTCTCCCCCATTTATCCAGCAATTTGAACATTATCACCAGGAAATAGGATATGGTATGATTAAAAAATATTTCTTTCATAATGGGGTTTTAGATAAACTCCTGTCCTCATTACCAGTCTTTATCTTGGTTGGATCCCAGAGCACTGTAGGCAACCAGAACAATATCTTTAGACTTGCAGAAATCCAGCAGCTTGCTCTGGTTGAGATAAGGGTGACATTCCACCTGTAGAATGCCAGGACAGAAATGGGTCAGACTACATGAAAACATGATATTAAAATGTAAGGAAAAGGATAAAAGTCAAAGCAGTGGAACAAGTATTTCTTAAAATTGTATTTGAGCTAGAAATGCCAGTGTGAATTAATAATTGAAAAAATAATTTTTCTATCTCTATCCACTGAAAAAGTAACAAACACTGATCTTGTAGAGAAGTACCTCTATTGCCCAGGTCTTGGCTACTAAAAACCATCGCTGGCCACAAGGAGAGAAGGGTCACTCTGGATCTGGGACAGGAAAAGAACCATTTGAGCTTTGGACATCGATTTTGCTAGAAAGCATGAAGCGACTCAAACACTTACGGGTGCATGTGCACAGAATAAAAGAAACAGTTTGGTGGATAGATGTGGGTAGATTTGAGGACCAAAAGAAATAATGACTAAAATAATTTCTAACACATTGAATAAATAAGAATCTCTAAGTTCCTATGGGAGCTCTGGTAGCATAGTGCCTAAGGCACTTGACTGCTAACCAGAAGGCTGGCGGTTCAAACCCACTAGCCACTCCTTGGAAGGAAAGTAGGGCAATCTACTTTCATAGTGATATTGCTTCGGAAATTCAAGGAGGGGTTGCTATGAGTCGGGTCCGATTTGACAGCCTGTAACAACAACAACAAATCTGTATGGATGAGAGGTGGAGAGGAAGAGAAAGAACAAAACATTTCTCCTTATTGAAGGTGATGATTATAGTAATTGCTTTCTCTAAATAATTGTAGTTAAAAGGTACAAATTACTTATTTATTCTGACTTATAAGAAATAATTGTATTTTATCCTGAGTTAATAGGGAATATTCTTGTTTTGCAGAAAATGCCAGATAAGAATAGTAGAAAGAATGAAAAACAAAATCATTATTTGCAAATCCCATCAAAATAACGGATTTAGGCAAAAATCATCAAGGGATACTAAACTATCAGGCATAAATTTGTTGGGGAATATGATTTTCTTTGATACCAAATTATCAACCAACATAGTATGTATCAGCTAATTATAAAAAGGAAAACATGTAATTATAAAGAAGAGATCTGGCTATCACTAGGTTAACCAAATGCTGAATTTCACTGCACTAATAGAACAATCTGCCAATATGTGCTTTCTGCTGGGGAGCAATTTGGAGGACACAGTAACCTTACAAAATTTTCTTGCCCAAAGTGTTTAACCTGAATCTAAGAAAGCCTTCAGATCTAACTTCCAATTTATAGAATGGTGACTAGAGAAATAACTTTACTTGTATCACGAAACAATACCCTGATCAATCTAGAATATTTGGTAATAACCTGTTTGGATATTTTGGGATACAAAAGAGTTGAGAGACTGTTGCAGATTAAAAGAGCTTGAGAAATACAACTAAAAGTATTACATGAGCCACAACTGGATAGTGGTTAAAAAAAGATATGCAAAAGATTTTTGGGAAGAAATGGGGAAATTTGAATATGGATTAGACAGTAAATGATATCAGAAAACTATCATTAATTTACTTAGATACAGTAATGAAAACATGAATGTATGAGAGAATATCTTCATGCTTATGAAATGCATCATGAGGAATTATTATAGATTGAATTTTGTCCTCCCAAAATATGTGTTGAAATCCTACAGTCTATACTTGTAAATATGGCCCTATTTGGAAATAGTGTCTTTTGTTTTGTTAATGAGTCTGTCCTCCTATAGGGTGAATCCTAAACCTACACATTACTGAGTTAATAAAAGAGAAGAATAAACAGACACCCAGAAAAAGAAGGCAGATAACAGAAACAGATGCATCTACAAGACTGAGAACACAAAGGTTTACAGGTAATTACCAAAAACTGAAATAGACAAGGAAAGGACTTCACCCTAATGCCATGACCTGAATTTGAACTTGTAGCCTTCTGAACTGTGAGAAAATAAATTTCTATTCTTTAAAGCCACCCACTTGTGGTATTTCTGTCAGCAGCATTAGGTAACTAAGGTGTGTAGAGGGCATAAGACAGATATGTAAGTGGCATACCTACAACTTATTTTGAGAGTGTTTGGCAAAAAGGTATGTTTAAGCTGCTAATTTAATGGTAGAAATCCAGGAGAACAGACAGAATCAGTCCCTAGCTCAGCCTCAACATATAATGGTAAATGTTCCTTAGACTTGATTTCCTCCCTCTTTCTCACCCTCATTAACCTGTATCCTCATCCCTTTAACCTGGAGTACTTTAATAATCTGTTATTGTTCCTGTGTGTGTGCTTCCTTGGTCAACTACCCCTGAAAGCAGAGATAACAAGACCAAGAATTCAGGCATCCAAACCCCACACAAACCCTTAACACCTATCTGATTCTATCAGTGTCTTTTTAGACAGAGGATCTGCTCTGTGGAATCTTCCAGTTCACAAAGATAAGTTGAATAGGAAGGTATGACAGCTGGCATAAGTAGAGAAAAAGAATGTGAAGACCAGAAAGCAGAAGCAGCTGTGCCAGGTGGAGGAGGCTCACCTGGTTGCAGACAGGCTTGTACTTGAGCCCTGGCTTGTTCAGGATCATTTCTATCTGCCTGTGGTTAAAGTTGGACACCCCAATGGACTTGGCCAATCCTGCATCCTTACACTTCTCCAGAGCCTGGAGAGGAAGAGATCATGAGGAATAATTTGTGTGATTTAGCCATAGAACAAGAATAAAAGAGATAGAGCCATTAAAAGAAACAACTATCCAGAAATGACCATGAAACAGACTGATGTTGATTGTCATGAAGAGCAAAAGTAATATAGAAAAAATTGGATGTAGATGGTGACAACAAAAAATAGAATTAGTGTTTCATAGTTAGGAAAATAGACAATATGGCACACAGAGGAAAAAAGTGGCCTCTGCTCACTGTCCTCAATTTTCTCTTCGGTTTTTCGGTGTCATATTTCAACCTAATGTTGTCAGTCTAACACAACACCCAATGCCATGCTCATGAACTGCTAAGTCAAATGAAGCATAGCCCCTTTGACCTGTCAGTGGCATACGACAGAGTTATTGCTATTTACTTGAGACACTTTGCTTGAGCCTCCTCTTATTTCCTAGACTGCTCCTCTTCCTAGAGTCTCATCATCTCCTTGACCCGTAATACTGAAGGGTCCCAGGGCTCAGTCCTCAGACCTCTTGGTTTCTCTATCTCCTCTCATTCTCAAGTGATCTATTTGCATGCATGATTTTAAATACCATTTACATGCCTAAGTAGAATGGAAAAAATGATGAAATAACAGAGCTGAACAGAAGGTTTCAAAGGGCAGCTTGACAAGATAAAGTATTATAGTGAAATGTGCAAAGACATGGAATTGAAAACCAAAAAGGAAGAACACACTCAGCATTATTCAAGCTGAAAGAATGGAAGAAAAATTCAAGCCTCAATTGCAATATTGAAGGATTCTATGAGCAAAATACTGAACAATTTATGCAAAAAGTATCAAAAGAAGATGGAAGGAGTATTATATTGTGACTATATATTGTGAATATTATATTATGACTGTACCAAAAAAGAGCTGGTCAGTTTTCAACTATTTCAGGAAGTAGCATATGATTAAAAACCAATGGTATTGAAGGAAGAAGTCCAGGCTGCACTGAAGGAATTGGTGAAAAACAAGCCTCTAGGAATTGACAGAGTACCCATTGATATGTTTCAAAAAGGGATGTAGTGCTTGAGGCACTGCAAAAACGACAAGGAGGCCACATGTTCTGACCTCCTCTAACCCTACAAGGGGAAGGCAGGATTACCAGCAGTAACCCAAGGCCTATTACTGCAAGGCCAGACA